TTTGTTCTCCCACTAATGAAGGTCAGGTTCAGAGTGTATGTGTCATCAAACCTTTTGAGACTGGAGGACAGTTGCCAAATATCATCAGGATTCATCCCTGTAGGATCTTTCCTGTGAGCCACTAGAAAGATGCTCTTCTCCTTATAAGAGCTATAAATAGTCAGGATCCCCCATCATGACAAAACAGGATATGACACACAAAGCCAAAACCAGCTTTGACTCTGGAAAGGGGTGCATATAATCCCAAATCAAAGCCACTATGGCAAGAAGACAGGAAATGGTACAGATGGTGAGGCGGCCATTGATTAAACTAAAATTCTCCACGTACTTGTACTTTTCCAGAAGTACATTTTTGGTAGAATCATCCAAAGAATTTTTCACAGCAGATCCATCCCATTTGTCAATTTTTACTGGTTTATCATCAATCTTCCACTTATCCAACAAATCGCTTCAATTACTACTTGTCCCACAGCTGAGGCCACCGCCAGCCCCACTATTGCCACCGCCACCACCACTTCTTCCACCCTGTGCAGCTGCCGATGCGCCTTCTCTGCAGCTGCTTATCCCTCCCCACTGACCTGTCCAAAGCCAATTCTGATTTGATGTTCTTTCAGTAAAAATTTATACTGACTTAGCAATCTAACCCATCCTTAACACCAAGGGCCTTTTAGAATCAGATATGGAACTGGATGTTGAGGACATAAAGATGAATTGTGCTGGTGGTCATGGTGTGCTGTGGAATTGGTTCCAACTCATAGTGACCCTGAATATGATTTCCCAGGCTGTAAATCCTTATAGGAGCAGAAAGCCTCATCTTTCTTCCACAGAACCACTGGTAGTTTCGAACTGCTGACTGTGAGATTAGCAACCCAACTGACTCTAAACCACTATGCTTCCAGAGCTCCTTATAAAGATGAACAGGACTCAGAAACTGTCTCTCCTAAGGTCATCAAATGAAAAACCAAACCTGTTGCCACAGCTGATCATAACTCATAGTGATCCTCTGGAGCAGAGTAGAACTGCCCTGAAGGGTTTCTAAGTCTATAATCTTTACAGAAGCAGACCTCCACATATTTCTCCTGTAGAGCAGCTGGTGGGCTCAAATCACACACCTTCCAATCAGCAGCAAGTACTTAACCACAGCACAGTAAGGGCTCCTTCACAAGATCACAATCAGTGATAAATACAAGAATAAACACATGGCAGAGTTCTATGGGGCCACAGAAGCAAAACCCTTACCACACCTCAACGTTCTGGAGGGGCACAAACACTTGTTTTGGTGAAATATTCATTACAAGTTATTCTTTGTCCACATAACACCTCTGTAATTTGACAATATATCTATGTCACTGCATCTTTGGGTTGGTGTTTTTCTCTATTTGCTCCTTCTGTACTTACTATGTTTCTGAATGGATGCTTGTTCTTTTTTTCTTGAGATTTTCCCTCCTTTTATCTTTTCATTTTGCTTAAGGAGACTTACTCAATTCTTAGCTTCCAAGCAATCTACTAAAATTTTACTTCTGCTAGCATATTTTTATTTATATAGAGCTTTTCTTGGGTCTTTTTATAGGATCCTATTTTTGTTTTTCTGCTATTCATTTTCTCCATACTTATTCAACCCATATGCTGAGCAAATAATCTGAGAAGCTGGGCTATATGAAGAAAAACATGGTATCAGGATTGGAGGAAGACTCA